TCTTCTCATATTTCCCTAAAGCTTCATTCTCTGATCATGATGATGTTCTTTCCATTCCTGGGATTTCACCCATCCCCAGATCTTCCATCCTTCCTCCGCTTCTTGTGCCCGATAGTCTCTTCGCCAACATGTTGTTCCAGGACAGCGCCAACCTCGTGAAACTAGATGGGGTTCTGATTAACTCCGACAAACAACTTGAACCAGATTCAATAGAGGCCATTAATGGCGGAGAAATACTAAAAAATTTACTTCCTCCTGCTATCGATATTGGCCCATTCCCGCCTTGCGAGTTTAAAAAGAGAGACGATGAGAACTCTTTGGATTCTCCATTCAAATGGCTGAACGAACAACCTAAAGGTTCGGTGAGCTTTCTTTTAATAATACTTCAAATTTATCTTCAGTGAAATTTCAAAAAACGTTTGTGAGCAAAAAAAAAAAAAAAAACAAAAGAAAGAAAGAAAGGCCAAGTAGCTAAGCAATTGATTTTTGAGTATTTTTTTAGTGTGTTTTATTTGCATTTTTCTGTCATGCAAACGCATTTGATACGAAAAATATTGGAGCACCTAGTCCCTCCTATTTCCATTACAAAATACTCCTTTCATTTTTATATATAAAAAGTCTTTTAAAATTTTTTTTATCTTTAAATTGTTAGCTTTTTTTAATAAATAGACCATTATGCCCTTATCAAATTAAAAAAAGATAAATGTTCTCATTAATTTACTTTGAAAAAATAGGTTTTTTATTTAAAATAATTAAGAGTAAAATTAAAATATTATTATACTTTTAATTAGATAACCAACTTTTATTAATTTGTATGATTTAGTTCAAAATATTTTATATATAGGAATGGAAGGAGTACTTAATTACAAATACCTTATCACAATCAAAAAGTGTTAGTTAGGTTATTTAACTTTATTTTTATTTAAAAATAAAATAAACTTTTAATTTAATCCATTTCAATAAAAAAATTTTAAACATGCATTATATTCTCTGTTATAGGTAATAAGTAAACAGGGATGATATTATAAAATTGTAATTAATAGTTTATAGTGTGTCTTATATTAAGAAAAAAATGTTTTTACAAGAAGCTCTGTAATAAAGACAGGAGGGAGCATGAATTTGTCAATGCCTTGGTGATGATTAGTGGCTCATCCGGAACTCAAAAGAATAAATAGTTCCTCTAATCATGTTACAAGCACCTTTAATCACTTCACCTATGTACTTAAATAAATATAGTTAAGTTATCTTTGTCTAAAGAGTAAACTTTCAATTTTACTCATATTTAAATAACAAAATTTTAAATTTACTCATAATCAAGGAGTTTGAATAGGAGTAATGTTGAAAAAAAAAATGTAATAATACCCATCAAATTATTTATATTAAGGATCATTAATCTCTTCTAAATGAGCTAATAATAAATATGTGAGGGAGTATGTATCATGCTTTAATTAAAATTACCATGAAATAGTCTCATTAGTATTTATATTAGTAAATATTTAATATCTTTAATTTAAACTTACATTCTAAAACTAAAATTGGAATATTATAACGGGTGGGTTTCGGGGGAAAAACTCAAAAGTAACGAAAGAGAACTTCGTAACAACAACAAAAATGAGACAAATCCACTCCCCATTCTCCGTTCAGGATGCTAGCAGCTAGTTTCCATAACTGTATCGTAATCTGGATGTAACGAAGCATCTCTATCCCTGATGATGATCTCCACTCCACTCACAAGAATCTGGTTCGATAGTAAATAATTTTTCTTTAGCCATAATCCTGTCATGAAGTTTTTAGTTATTTTTAATTGATCAAGTGTACTATTCTTTTTTTTATTTCAAAACGTGGTGATCTACTTGATCTAGGATATATGGATGGCAAATTTAACAGAATATTGAAAGAAAATTAGAAACATTTTTTTAAGAGAAATGTTGTTGTTGACTATAAGCTACATTATTTTTAAACTATTTTAACAAATAAAATTACTTAGAAAGCAATTGTAAAGGATGTAATTTGAAGTTTACTTATTTTTATATACTTAATATTACATGATGATGATAATTTATTTATGAGTAAAATATTGTGACCTTCCTTTTATTTTATTAAAATTATAGGGACATCCCTCATATTTTCAAAATATACATTTTAATCAAATTTTTAAAACCGTTAAAAATATTTTGTTAAATATTTTAAAATATTTAATTTTCCTTTTAATTAGGTTAGAAAATTTATAATTACTAATTTACCCTTATGATCAAATTGTATACCCTCTCTCAAAATTTAAATAAATAATTGTGAAAATATTTAAATAAATAATTTAACAATATTTTTTGAAATTGATAAAATTTACAGAGAAAGTAAACATACATTATATTAACTGATTTACCTCTTATTATATTAAAGACATATTTTATTAATTTTGTTCTACATATGCATTTTAGAAAAATTTTTGCACGGATTTGGTGCACCATGTCATTCATCCAATAAAAACATGTCATGTTGAATCAAGTAAAATGTCATTATATGTTTTTATTTTTAATGGCTTTATTTTTGAAATTTCATTTCTTATCTTATGTCTTTCCATCATCATTAATGACAAAATAAATTTATATTTACAACCATTTTATATATAATACTTTTATTAAACAGATTATAAATGATGTGATACACTAAGTTCGTGCAAGAATTTCTTTTATGGTTGAATTATCATCTTAGCCAGTTTATGTATTTATTCTGTAAATAGTTTTACATGTCTAACAAAATATAAATAAAAAATAAAAATACATATGCTTTAATTTTTTTTGGGTATTTTAAATAATTTTCAAGTAACATTGATGTTTAAAAAGGGTATTTTGGTTTAACAAAATATGACTTAATAGTTAATTAACAGTTTGGATGAATGTAAATGAAATATTTAGAGTAAAAGGAAGGTTTGTATTTTGTGATTATTAGATTCCATGGGAGGTTTGTATAGGCTTTTGAAATAGAAATGAGGTTTATTACAAATATGTAATGAATTCTACAAGTGTACAGGTCGTAAATTAGTAAATGGTAAATTAAAATTAATCTCATGAGGAATCAAGTTAATTTAAAATTAGGCAATAAATTTCTCATTTTCATTTAAGTTGCGCAAGGCAAGATTTGGATTTGAAATTGCAAAATAAAGATTGAAATGAGAAAAATATACTAAAATTAAAATTTCAATAACCACAAATAGTCAAGGCAACCTAGGGTGGCTAATCCTTTTTTTAATTTATAAAGCATGTAATTATCTAAATAAATGCACTTAATAGTAATTTGTTAATATAAAGTATTAATAAGAATAATTATCTTCCGATTAATTACACTCTTCTCTTGAATTAATATGCTATTTCTAACACAATTACTCAAGAGGCAAAAAGGTACAAACTCACTCTAATGTAATTATATGGGTTCAATAGGTATATTCTTATCCTATTGACAAATTAAAATAAATTCTAATTTCACATTATTCAATCTAATGGTTTAATTCAGATTTGTCTCTTCCACGGCAAAACCTAAACCCCCCAAAACACTCAATAATGGTCAAGCATTAAGTAGACAAACAAGCATAAGATTAAGTAAGCAAAACTAATATAAGCTTAAATAAATAATTCAAACATACTCTAATTTAAGAATCAGTTCATAGCTACCCTATATATTAAGAGAAAATCAGCCATATATGGTTTCCATGACAGCAAAATCAACAATATATATATATATAGCAAAATAAAGAGAAGAAGGAGAAAAAAAGCTTAATCAGAGCAATCTTGAACAAAATTCTTAATTTTTTACCAAACCCAAGCTTCTCCATACCTCTTTTGGCTCCTTTTATTTTTCCTAGATGTTCTGCAGCTGCTGGAGGTGAAGAATGTATGAAAATGAGGAGAAGATCAAAATTGTATGTTTTACTAAAATCATGTTTCGCTGTAACAAAATGCGTTTTCATTGCAACAGACACGACCTGTTCAAATTTTCTTTTCAGATTTAATTTCTTTAATTTAGGTTCTAAAATTTTCATTTTTAGCCTCTAAATTGAGCCTCCCTACATCAATAGAATTCAGAATTAATACTACATTTGATCTACTAACTTTTAACATATTTCCAAACCCATTTTTACACACAATCATTCACTTAATCATATTTTCGCTAATAAATTCAAACAAATGACTTCCAATTATATTAAAATATTGAAAGTCATTAGAGGTATATGTAATTAAGATAAAATAGAGAGAATATCAATATATGCTATTCTTTTGTTTTATTTAAAAGTATTGCCCTCATTTGTCTCGTATTGCCTCATGGATGCTTGGAAAAAATATATATTTTTTGACATGAAAGAACTAGCTCAATAAAATACTCCTTCTGTTAAAAAATATAAAGTATTTTTAACCAAATTTTATCTTCAATAAAGTAATTACCTACTTTTTAACTAATCCTATCTTTTTATATTTATCCTTATTAAATACCCTACAATAAATATAAAGTCATTATTAATAGGTACACTTTTAAAAAAAATTAATGATTATATTTTAAAAGACTAAAAATATCTTACATTTTTGAACATCTAACTCCTCAAAAAATACCTTATATTTTTGAACGGAGAAAGTATTCTTTATTTCTTTATAAAAAAATAGTGTACAAGATAAGAAATGTATAAATAATATATCAGATTATTTTTATATTTAAAAATGTACTTTTAATTTATTTTCAAATCAATGACAAACTGATTTTTTAACAAAAAAGAAACTATACCCAGCCATGAATATCGTGTAAGATATATATAAATACTAATATAGCAATAATATTAAAACCTGTGCATTTTGCTAACATGGATTACATTTAGCAGGAGGAGCCACTACGTGGCTTAAATCTAAAAGAGGTGCTCTTACAGTCGTACGTGCCTCCAAACCGGGCACGCGTCACCAGCAATAAAACGGTCATTCTATGCGGCCGGCATCTGTACATGTATACTAATACTAGTACATATATATATTGAACATTGTGCGTGTCCGTATCTCGCGCAATCAAGTCAGGAACCGGCAGCATTTGGCGACGAGTAAGCCATGAATAACGCGTCGGGGTCCATCGTTCATGTGGCCTTCGTCCCAAGTGCAGGTTTGGGACATCTCACCCCTTGTCTCCGACTCGCCGCCTTGTTCCTCCGCCACCAATATTGCCACGTCACTCTCATCACCCCCAAGCCCACCGTCTCCCTCGCCGAGTCCCATCTCATCTCTCGCTTTTGCTCTTCCTTCCCCGATCAAGTCTCCCAAATCGATCTCCATCTCCTTCCTTTTGATCCCACCTCTGAAAACTCCTCCGACCCTTTCTGGCTTCACTTTGAACGCATACGTCGCTCTCTACACCTTCTCGCCCCCATACTCTCTTCTCTCACACCTCCTCTCAGTGCTTTCGTCTACGATGTTAGTTTGATTTCTGGTATGATTCCTGTCTCTGAGAGCCTCGCTGTTCCTAGTTATATCTACTTCATCGCTACCGCCAGAATGTTCTCGTTCTTCTCACACCTGTCTGTTCTTGATGCGGCTAAGAAACATGCCGGCGGTCACCCTGCTTCGTTTATCGGTGATGCTGTTGAGATCCCAGGGATTCATTTGCCAGTACCCAGATCTTCGATCCCTCCTCTGCTTCTCGTTCCGGGAAGTTTGTTTGAGAAGATATTCATGGAGGACAGTCCTAGGCTGACGAAACTCGATGGGATTTTCATTAACACATTTGAAGAAATGGAAGAGGAAGCTGTGGCGGCTCTCAATGCCGGAAAAGTAGTTCCAGGGTTGCCTCCAGTGCATGCCGTTGGCCCTTTAATGCCCTGCGAGTTTGAGAAGGTAAACATAAACTCTCAGATATATCTCCTTTTGAAGTTAAGAATTTTAATTGTTACAATATCCTTCAGGAACAAGATCAAGACATGTCGGCCAATTCGCCATTGAAGTGGCTTGATGCTCAACCAGAAGGGTCAGTGGTGTATGTTTGCTTCGGCAACAGGACTGCGACAACGAGGGAGCAACTAAAAGAGATGGCAGAAGGGTTACTGCGAAGCGGCTATAGATTCCTATGGGTGGTGAAGCTGAAGATGGTGGACAAGGAAGACGACGAAGATCTGGAACAAGTGCTAGAACCAGAGGTGATGAAGAAGATGAAGGAGAAGGGTCTTGTGGTGAAGACATGGGTGAACCAAGGAGAGATTCTGGGGCACACTTCTGTGGGAGGATTTTTGAGCCATGGAGGATGGAACTCGATAGTGGAATCCATATGGCATGGAGTGCCTATTCTGTCATGGGGTCAGAATGGAGATCAGAAGATAACGTCGGAGGTGGTGGCGGAGAGCGGGACCGGAGTGTGGCCGGTTGAGTGGGGTTGGGGAGGAGAGGCTGTGGTGAAAGCGGAGGAGATAGGGAAGGCAGTGAGAGAGATCATGAGCAGCGAATCTCTGAAGGCGAGAGCCTTACAACTCAAAGAGGCTGCAAGGAAGGCCGCAGGTGTTGGGGGAAGCTGTGAGGTCAAAATCAGGACAATGATTGAAAAGTGGAAGAAGAAGAACGTGGTTTATTAATTAATTAGGGTTTAGACGTTAATGGAATGTAAAATATTTTTAAAACTAACTAAAGAGCTGGTATTTGTCTCCTTGTCCCTATTTTACTTACATACTTACACAGTTCACCGAGTATTTACTCCCTCTAAATCTTATTATAGATGAACCTCTATAAAAATTCTTTTGGTCTTAATATTAATTTATAACTCATAGAATATATATATATATATATATATATATATCTTCTTATTTTTAATAAGAAAAAAAATCATTTTAAGACATAATCAATGAGTTGTTATAGCTGTGTGTGTCAAAAAGGAAAGTATATGGCTCAAATGTGTAGAGGTTATAGTACATACTAATACATATTAAGGTGTGAATTTTAGTTGGTAAATGTCTTGGATGGAAAGTGAGCTCATGCAAATAATTGAAATCTATTGACACGCAAGTTAGATGCAGTACTGAACATTTTTCCAGAATTTTGGAAATTATTTTAAAGAATTACAAATTATTGATATAAAATAGTTTTTCAAAGTTTTTCTTCCTTTTAAAATATGTTGAAGATTGTAAGGTATTATAAAATATTTTATGGGTATTTCAAAAGAAATTATTTTACATTAATAACATTAATTTCTATTTAAATCAATTTATTTTGCAACCTATATATATATAACTCTATTATTATTATTTGAAATTTTTTTATAATTAAAGTGTTTTTATTGCCCAATGGTTTGAAATCTCTCTCTATAAAAAGCAGTGGTTGTTGCAAATTCTTTGACTAGAACTTGGAGATGATGGCAGGCAACAGAGCCTTGTTTCCTAGTTAGGTTTTCGTTTAAGCGCTGATCTTGAGGAGTGGACTATCCAAATTAAATTTAAATTTTTAATTAGTAATTAGAACGATATACTAAAAAAGGGGGAAAAAAAGTTGATCAAGAGACCTAGATTATCCAAATAAAAAAAAAACCATGACAAATTTTAGATGTGAGATTTTTAATAATTGACTAATGCCTTACAATTTAGTGAATCAAGATTCAAATAATCATTATTAAAAAAGTGCTTACATTTAATGTGTGGTTATATTTTGAATAAAATTATTTTTAATAGTACAATACGTTATAAAAAAAATTGAAATTCAAGGTTAAATCCATCAATTCAAATTTCAATTAAACGCTACCACTATTACAAGAAAAATTATTTATGTTGGTAATTTAAAGTTCATTTTATTTACATGTTTGCCACTGTCTATTTGGTTTAGGTTAGTTTTGAATCAACCGATGCAGATAGGAGGCATAGATACTATATTTTGTGATAATGTATCTAGATGTATTGATAATCTCATTATTTTAGAAAATAAAAATATAAATTTTCAAAAACACATTTCATTTAATGTAACTTTATTTATGAAATAATATTGAATAGAGAGAAAAGATATAATGAGAAGGGAAGGATAATATTGAAACAAGTATAATTAAGGATGAAACTTTATTTAATCTATATAAAATTGTAAGTTATAATTAAAAAATAACAAATAAAAGTTTCGTAATTAACAATAATTAAAATGATCAAATTTTGACGAGTTAATCTCTTGTTATTACACTTAATCCCAATAAAATTTCAAATTATCATTAAAAAAATAATAAGCAAAAGTTTCCCAATTAATAACTACACTGGGCTTTGATGTTTCTGCCATTGCATTATCCAATGTCTTTCATTTGTTCTGAGAAAATTTTTGCCACTCCTTAGTATATATTTCGTCATATCTCTACTGAAATCAAAGAAAGATGGTTAATTTATTAATTTTATTTTAAAAAATAAACTTTTAATTTTATTCATATTTAAATAAAAAATTAAATTTGCATTACATTATCTTTCATAGTTAATAAATTTAAATAAGAGTAATATTTAAAAAATATAATTAATACTCTACCAAATATTCCTTTGTAGGCACCCCTAAGTGCCTCGTTGAAATTAATGAAAAGATGGTTAAGTTATTAATTTTATTTAAAAATAAAATAAATTTTTAATGTTATCTCTACTTAAATAAAAATTTTTAAATTTCTATTATATTCTCTGTCATAGTTGATAAGTTTAAACAGGGGCAATATTGAAATAACATACTCCCTCTATTTATATACATAAGAGAAACAACCACTCAATTGTTTATTTTTATTTATGAGCAAAATCATATATCTCAATAAACATTTATTATAATTTTTTTAAATTACTCTTCATAAATTTTATTTATAAGAAACAATTAATGCAACCTTGTTTTGATTAAATACAAGGATATTTTAATTTAGTTTCATTTATAGTTAGTCAATATTTTTAAATTATATAATATATTTATTTTATATATATATAAAAATGGAAGGAGTAATTACTAATATCCCAACAAGTGTCTTGTATTAAAAATAAAAAAATTTAGAAAACACTCTCTAATAAGGATTAAAAGGAGTGTTTTATATTAATAAAGACTGTTAATTTTGTCTGTCTTACAATAAAAATAGAAGGAAAATAGCTCGCCAACTTTTATTTTTATTTTTAAACCTCTGGGAGTTTTGGGAATGAGCATTGATTTGGCATGGGAGGTTAGACTGAAGACAATAATTGAGGAAGCGTGGAAAGAGGAGACGCACATTGAAGTTTTTTGGAGTGCATGAAGACAATATTTATTGGTGTTTGGTTTCAGTTCATTGCATTCAACTGTCTGTGAATTAATATCCAGCATCATCAACAAGCACTGACAGTGCAATTATGATCTACTAGGCCCACCCATTTCCTATTTTACCAGAGGGCCCACTCTTTAATTATCTGACCTTCTCTTTCTTCTTTGAATACATTAGTGATGCTGTGATGGGCGGTCTTCCATGCTCATCGAGGCCATGACCATGAATGATAGCCCGTCACCATAATGGGATACAGTAGACGGTTGGGATTTAAAACTATTAGTTTATACTTAATAAAATAAAAAATTATTAAAATTATTACAAATTTTAATAAATCTATTAATCATCAATCAGCTTTCCAGATTTAATAATAAAAATTTTTATAATTTTTTAAATTGACTGTTCAAATATATTTTCAACAGTTCAATTTTAATGTTAATTTTTTTATCATTTTTATTTTAGTAAATGTGATATTAAATGTCAAGATAATATGTTAAATAGCACTTTTCAAAAAATATTTGTGAAAAGAATTATAAGGTAAATTTTTTAAAACTATATCATTTAGAATAAATTTGAATAATCAATTTATAAAAAAATTAATATCAAATTTGGATAATCTAAATTAAATCTGGAGAGTTTAAATTGATAATGAATAAATTTATTAAATTTTTTTAAATGTTTTGATAAACATAAAATAAAATATAACTTAAAAGATTTAATTTTAAATTGTTCAAATTAAATCTGGATGATTCAAATTTTATTCAAAGTAATAAGCATCGAACACACACTCAAATACTATGATAACCTTTTATAGAATATAATAATTAAGGATCTCATAAAAAATAATGTCAAATCAAAACTTTGGTTTCTTAATTTAGATTTTCAAGTTTATCACTTCGTGTTAAAAATTTTTAAAAAGTCCTCATTTAATATTAACCTTCTTAAAAGATCCTTAATTCTCGTTCTCACTAACTTGAGAGAATAATTCTACCTAGTCCACTCAAAATATGTGTGTAATCCTGCCAATAGAATAATCATATCGGACTTTTTTCTCTTACACAAGTTAACTCATGTTATTGATGAACGTAAACTACACTAGGAAAGAGACATCAATGCCATATTACAGTGTCTATAGCTTGTCAATGTTCTTGTAGTCCAAAGGCATGTAAGCTTCTCAGTAAGTCAAAAATTGTGGGTTTGATGTGCTTGAAATTTCAAGCTGTTTAGTGTTTGCCCCTCTAATTTTTTTTTTTAAAGTATCTGCAGCTTCCATGTTGTCATCAAGCGTCCAATAATAAACGGTTGGTGAGAAAGTTTAAGTAATCTAAGGCCTAAAGGGTATGAAAATGCATCATAAAAGCAAGTTTGAAAGTTTAAAAACAGTAACGCTTGCTTTGGAGCTTGCCAAGCTTTCCTGAAACTCGAGAAGCACACCAGCTGATAGAGATGTCCCCTGTCTTCTGAACTGATCAAAGTACATCGACCAGTAACTCTGAAATCTTCTGTGTAATTCCTTTGTTAGTGAAGTTTGAATCGCTGAAGATTTCATAAATCTCTTAGTCTCTGCATCGGGACGATGAACTGTGAGATACACATATGTAATTCGAACGAGAAGTTGCTCAAAAAATTGCATCCCCTCGTCTAAATGCTTTTCCTGCAAAATATGTTTGATTTCGAAGAAACCATATTGAATCATATCATACCTGCATATTGAATTATATTTTATTTAGAATGACTAAACTTTTACCCTAAAATTCTGTTTGATTACTGAAAAGGAATAAAATAGAATAAACTAAAAAAAATAAAGATAAAAAAATGATCAAAATGTGGAAAGAGATAAGTAAACCACTTTCATCAGAGAGAATGATAATTTAGTTCAAAAGATTAGAAGTCATGATTCATAAAATTTTTAAAGAATTTAATCAATCTTATATTTATAGTATATAATAGTGTATTGAGTTTTGTTATACTTAACATGAGAAGAAATAGTAATTTAATTTATTTTTATTTTTATTTTTTTAATTTATTCTGTTCCTATCCATTTTAGCAACCAAATAAAACCTAACTGTATGTAGGTTCTGTTGGTAACCATGCGACTTATATCCAACAAAAAGGGAGATCGAGGAACTCAACGTTGATGTTGAAGTAGATTCGGCCAGAGGGGATGACGCCGATGGCTTTGTCATGGAAGATGGAAATGGGGGTGCAAACAAGGGTTTGAGTGGGCTCGATGAGGGAAGGAAGGAGCTGTTTGAGAGTGAGAAAGGAGGATTTGGCTTCGAAAGCTTCGGTCACGAATTTGGGATTGCTTGAGAGAGAAGGAAGGAACAAGATTGTGGGAGGTATAAAAAGAGAGAGAGAGTGAGAGAAAGAGAGGCAAAGGCAAAAGATGAGGGGCATAATGAGAATGTTGCCATTAAGCCAAGACTTGCTGGCAGAGAT